CCCCCCCGGTCTGCCCCCCCCGCATCCCTACCGCCAGCCGTTCGCTCTGATCAATACTAACCACTGTGTAACAGCTCACGCATGGCTGCCTTAGTTTGCATCGATCAGACCCTTCTTCCAACAGGTAGCCTGCTATTTGAGGCAACAACTTGAGATAAACACCTACTTCTACTTCAGGCTAATTCATTTCAGGGGGATTTTCAAGGAGACCCAGTGCCCTTCTTCAGAGACTTGCAGAGACCAGAAACTCACAGCAGCTTCTCTCTGGCCAGAGCCTACACAAGACAGTGTTGTTTTCCCCACCCCTTCTGAAACGCAGCCTGTAAAAAAGACACTGTCCAAATACTTTCAAAGGACCTAGACTTGAAAATTGCATGTCAGGCTCTTCTAGTTAAGAGAGCTCGGTGGTTTGGAAAATCAGGACCGATGCCGTAACGTAGCATGTGAGTGAAGCACCCTGAATGTCCGCAGGAGGAATCTCCACAAAACCGTCCGGCAAACAGCAGTGTGCCAGCAGTCTTACTTCCCCTCTGCTCGCTGCTGTCCCCAAAGCTGCCAGCGTGTAGAATAGCGACAGTTTTGAAGGACTCCTAGGAGGTCTCTGGGCACAGACATGGTCGCTCCGTGTATGCGCTCCCGGGCCAGAGCCCGCTCTGCAGTGTGGAGCCGGACCCTCGAGAGAGGGGAGGAGCACGCACGAAAACAAGCACCTTCACCCACCACCCGACTGCGAAAACACCTGTAGACCAGACACGTCCCGCCTGGAAAGCCTCTCAGAGAGGTTACAAACACCTTTCCTGGCTGGTTTGTCCCTGTGCCCATTAGAGAGGTGGAAGGGCCGCAGGGCTGCTACGGCAGCTACAAACTTTCCAGTGAAATGAGTGTTTATTATTACAGGTTTGATGCCGTTCCCAAAAGGACCTAATCAACAAGTAATAAGGCCTCAAGAGAGCAATTAGAAACCTGAACTTTAACTCCCTTATAACCACAGCACAGAAAGCAACTTCTGCTTTGGTTGGGGGTTTGCAGCCTGGTGTGGCGCTGCGGAAGAAACACTGAAAGTCTGCAAATAGCTGCAGAACAGTATTTGAATTTGAACAACAAAGTACAAGATTAGTTTCTGTGGCAGGGCAAATGTGTACCTGGCAAAAAGCATTAATGCTTGGCAGGATTCGTGCCCAAATACATGGCCTGTATCATTTCTTTTTTTCAGTGCTTCTTCCCAGCCTTAGACAATCCCCAGAGTCATTCGATGCCTGCACACTTGCAGCATCTGCTCCCCTGAAAAAAACCCACAAACACAAAACCCCTCAGTTTTTCCGCTTGTACAGAACCAATATCTTCCTCGTTGCAGAAGCTTGAGCTACATGGTTTGCTTGAAACTTGTTCTGAATACTGTGGATGGGACATTTCAGACAGGAACTGCACATTGAGTAATTCTGGCCATAAAAAGTCACGTGGCTACTAGAAAGCGAAAAATTGCATAAGAATACGTCTGCATGGCATGGCTGCATCAGTGAGCATTGCCCAAGAGGGCTGATGTTCCTCATTGCCTGCCCGAGAGCAAGGAGGAAGCACTTGACTTTGCAGGTCTTTACGCAGAGCCGTGGCCGTGCTAACACGCACCCGCAGGCTGTTGACGTCAGTGTTGTTTGGAACTTAAGAGGTGTGTTTCTAAAAAATGTTACAGAGTTAGAGGAGTTGTTTTTCTTTTTTCTTTTTTTTTCTTTTTTTTTTTCAGATATCTGAAGGCCATTTGCCCGGGCAGAATGTGTGTGTCTGTATGTAGAGAGGAGAGCTGAGATTGTTGCACATTTCCTTTCCAACAGGAACTATAGAGGCAAAGCAAATAACACTGTGATACAGGAAACCAAGAAGAAAAAATTTCTCATGCATCTGTAAGATTAGTTGTCCATTTTGAATTTATTGACTCTTCAGCAGCCTTAGTGGGTTTCTGGGTCACGGCAGGACAAGCAGACTGACCTCTGTGTCACTGTAGTCAGTGCCTTGTGAGATGAGTATAAAGCACGTAATTTTTTTTATGTTACTGGCCATTGCAAGTCCTCCCTTTCCAGGGAACGTGGGGTAGGGATGAGTAAGCCGGCTGCAGTGAGCGTCTTCAGCAAGCCTACAGCATGTGTCTCCACGGGTGCCCTCCAGAGCTGCCCCTTCCTGGCCGAGGCTTCGTCCAAAGAGGATGACACCAGTGCTGGCCGGGAGAGGCAGCTGCAGTGGGCAGTGCGACATCCACAGCTCCACTGACAGGGACAGCCCACGCCTCCCAGCGCCGCCGCTTCTGACCAACTCAAAACTGGTGTTTTTCCAGTTGTGCAGCTGTCAGGGCAGAAGCAAAAATACTACTAAGCTAGGAGAGATACTGCTGTAAGGGTGACGCAGAAGTCCTTCTTAACTGTTCCTCAGCGAGAGAGCAGGCATTTTCCCCCACCGACGTGAGAGTCAGGTAACGGTTGGACTTGACGGTCTTGAAGGTCTTTTCCAACCATAATGATTCTATGATGGATTCTGTGATTCTAACAGGAGTGAAATGGGATAAAACTCCAGCAGCACGTGTAGAGCAGGGGAGACATTTTGATATACTGTCCCATTCTCTGGAAGGTACTTGAAGCCAACAAGCCTGGCCGTGACCGCAGGTACATGTAGGTCCATGTAGGCTTTTGCAGCCAACGGTTATGGAGCCATCAAGGTGAGGTCCTGCTCTCTTTGGGAGGTGGGAGCACCAACCCTAGGCCAGAGCTGAGCACTTCCCACTCAGAACTTTCAGCTGGGGATGCCTGCATGGTGCAGTACTGAGCCTGGGATGCCCCAGCCCCGGGAGGGCTCTGTCCCTGTCAGCCACCATGCCTATAAGGAGAGCAGACCCAAGATCTGACGATTGAGGTGAACTTCCAGACCTCCCAGCCTTGAGCAGATTTAAGGTCTCGAAAAACTTCATTTGGGTATCAGATGGAGCCAGCGGAGGGAGTGAAATGCAGGGGCGCTGGTTTTTATGTTTCAGGTGGGTCTGTCCAGTGGTGGTGGCTGGGACAGGCCGTGTGTTTGGGGCCTCTTCAGATGTATCGCTATCTGAAAGCGAATTGGTCTCGCCTGCACTCTTTTCATCCCAGTTTGTGGTCAATCTGCACCTGAAACAGAGTTTAGGACATGATTCTCATTTACTTTGGCTTTTAATTTATTTTAGCTTTGTAGTGTTTTCAGTCCGTGTTTGATTGCTTACATGCCAGTGTGTGATAAATACTGAGATCTGGCAGTAGTCTTTTGGTCCAAAATGTCTCAAAACTTTTGCCATATAGGGGTGCAGATCATGAGTCTGTAATGAGTTTATCTCAGCAATTCCTGCTCGTCGACTGTAGTAGCAAGAGCTGGAATTGAGGGAGCTTTATGAAAGACACTTAACAGCAGCGTATCAGCAGGTAACCTTCAAGGTGTGGGTGTCTGGTGACCCATTAGTTCTGATTCCCTTTCCACTCGAGAAGAAAATTCAATGCAGAGGTAGTTTGGGGTGCAAAATATGGTGTGATTGAACAGCACCATCCCAACAGTCTGTGTGGGGGTGTCCTAGGTCTGGAATATCGTTCCGGTAACTGGGTGTGTGGACTTCTTGCTTTGCAGGACTTTTCAAAACTTCCAACTTTTTACAGCCTCTTCTTTCCAGTATCCCCTGTCGTCTGCAAGCAGAAACTGTGTGTCTAGTTGTATATACTATCTGCTTTATTTTTTACACGTATTTGTGTGTTTATACACCAATTCTCAAAGAAACATTTCTTTTAGCAAAACACAAAAGCGTAACACGCTAGTAGTCTCAGTGATTGCGCTGAATACTGTGCAATTAGCTTAAAATTTTTCCTCCTTGAAATGAAATTGTATTTGTGCCTGGATCAAGCAGTTCTGCACCAGTCTTGAACTTGTTAAAGATGAAAATCAGAATAACCGCTGCAATATTGAAAAGGTAAAATGAGAACAAAATGGCATTTGGCCAATGTTTATGAATCACAGAGTATGATCATGAAATCATAAGAATAACCACCAAAAGGTAAATAAATTACCGAGGCTACTACTTATTTTCATGTGCAGTTTGACACAAAAGCTGAAGCCATGAATGATTTATACCTGTTTTAACAATAATACTCATTTTCCTGAAAGATGGTCAGCACTCAGGCTGCTGTGGGCACTGTGCCAGTTGTTGAAAGGTTAATGTCTCAGCGGCAATACATTAAATTATGAATTATACCAGTCCCAAAATGGAAGGTTATTAGCTCAGTATGTTTAATTAGCCTGGCTCGAACTTTGCCATCTGCTTGCACTGCCCATCGCTAACGCACGGCCACGTGGAATGGGAGGGTTGGAGATGAGAGGAGATGGCAGGAGCAGGAGACTCTTCACTGCCACGCCTGACCTCCTTGGTGGGTCCAAAGGCTCGTCCCCACGCCCGGCTCTGGGGACACCCTGCTGGGAACAACCAAGCCGGTCCCTGGACCCTGCAAAGGCTCCCACGCAGAAAGCGCAGGGAGTTCCGCAAGGAAAACGCCCCTTGCCTTCTCCCACGTCTGTGGGGCCGGTTGTCCCGCCAAAGCACTGGGGAGATGTTGGCAAATTCTCAACGGGAGCCCCTTTGCATCCCGGTTGCATCCCGGACCTCTCCGTGAGAGGAGGAGGACAAAAGGCGAGGGCCCGGCTTGTACCTGAGCCGTGGATGTGCCAGAGAGAGAGGAGCTCTCCTGAGGGAGGTCTGGACCCGGGCAGCACGGTGCTGGCCACGTCAGGAGGAGCAGGGCGTCCTGCCGGCCAGCGCTCCCTCTGTGGGAAGCAGCAGCTTGTGGTGGGTTTTTTTGGACAGCATCTCTTGCCAATAACTGCACAAGGCTACGATATTTAGTTTTTCAATAAATATTTAAATTTTACTTCTTTGCTTATTTATTTTT